ATCAGAATCACTGTACAGAAATTAGATTGTAAAATTTAAAAGAGTATCATAAGATCTTTAAAAATTCATTGTAAACAACATTGTTATTAAAAACAATCAATATTATTTTGTGAAAGACATTTTAAAGTAAAGCTAACTTAATTACATTCTGAACAAAATTAGTAATATAGATCAAGGTAATTTAATTAGATAATTTATTAGATTTTGACACCCTCTCACACAGAGATATTGTATAAATTGATAGCAATTAGTTTAGATGAAAATACATGTACTTGAATTGAACATTGACAAAGAATAGTGGAAAATGATCAAGTTGGGCTAGCATAGCTGGACTTTCTATTGTTCTGCTTTGTGTGCATTTCAGTGGACTAAATGCAATGTCAAAAATGCCTCAGTAGAGTCTTAACGATGTCTGCTGTGATTGTCATTGTTGCCATGTAGATGGTGTGCATACAGACACATTTTAGAAGATGATACACATATAAATAAAACAAAAAATACAGGTAAATCACCTTATACGGTGCATTTTGCCAAAACCAGTAGATAAGTGACTTTATAATCCTGATGATCCCAAATAACCCCTGTAATGAGGAGATGGGGGCTCCTCACCCAGATGTCTAAAATACACAATTGGGTGGTGGAGCCTAACGCAGAAGCAGACAGTCGCATGTTTATGAAAGACTCTGCACCAGGCTGTTGAAATAGCTGTTAACAGAGTTCCCAACCTATTTGGCTCGTATTTGTGGAACCCTCTGCATAGCCTGGACACCATGAGGCCCAAAACTACAAAAACCTGGGAATGACTACAGGCAATCTCTGTGGGCAGGCGAATGGCACGAGCGAGACCAAGATGGCAGACCGGTCTGGAGGATGCTTGGATTTCTGGGATAAGAATTTGTATGACGCACAGGATGACCTCCCACCTGCACCAACAAAGCCAGACTGGATTCTTACCCAGTGACCACCTCTGTTCTGAAGGAGCTCCTGGCAGGCATGCAAAACAATATACTCACAGATATGGCCAAGATCCATGGTGATATGCAAGGACTGACAGGCTGCATTGGTGCACTGGAGGAAACTTCCAATTTTTGGGGTCACTTCAACAAGCAGTACAAGACCTGCAGCAGCAGAATTAACTATATGGACGCTGCTCTGCAGCACAGGAGGACAATCAATGTTGAAACAACCTAAAAGTTAGAGAGGTGCCTGAAAATTGACTCGTCGACAAACTACAATTTTTGTTGGTGTGCGAACACATTCTGGTCATTCACAATACTGCAGCTGACACTTTGTCCCGGTCTAATTTTCAGCCATTTCACATGGTGCACCCCTTTGCCGACTACCTACCATCCAGACCCGATGAGATACAGGAAATGACGTGCCAAACAATCTACAAACGGCCCGATATAATACAGACACGAAAATTGCGATCCCAACATAGACGATTATGGGAAGAAAAAGATTTACTTTTTAATAAGAATTCTTTTATATATTCTATTTATCATGATGCTCGCTAAACAAACCTTTTGAAACCAATAAGATGGTGGTTATTTGTAGCCATATTGGTGATGGCAGTGAACGCATCCGGTTAGGACCATATTTGGTGATGTTTTTAACATGTTTTTGAATGTTAATTGATATGCATACATATATATGTTTTACTCACAGTAATTGATGTATCAGCACCTGAGGAAGACCCCTTGTAGGGTTGAATCGCACTGTGTTTTACTATTTAATAAATATTCATCATTTTGAATAGTGGAGTTCCTGATTTCTGGTGGTATTATCGGGTTCCTGAATTCCTGGGAGTCGTTATCATCCACAGCTCCATTTGATATCTCTATTGGAGATGATATGCATTATAAGTCCTGAGCCTACTTCTAATCGGCTCTGAAAAGTGTGAGTTTATCCACTATCTTTTCAGTATTATATATACCTCATACAGGTTACGCTATGTATCTTTGTTTGTTTCATCTAATATAGAGTAAAAGAAACTTTGTCTCTTTGATTTGTAAAGAGAAGTACTTTGTAAGGAACACCCTTGTTATATACTGTAAGAAGAACCTGTATATGAGGTATTTGTTTCTCTTTGATTTCTTTGTGTTCGATTATCACCCTTTCACGTTTTTTCTAGTATAGTGTAGTGCCCACTTGTAAGTATAGATGGTGGTCTTTTCCCTTCAAAAATATAGGAAAAAATTAAAAAAAATTGTGTGCACTGTAAGGCACAGAATACAATTAAAGTGGTAACAAATTTACTCACATTTGATGGAGCAGATGTGGACTGCTCTATCCCTCGGGCTTAGGTGGTACAATCCCCACCGTGGATACGGTAGTTCAAGCAGAATAGCTGCAAAGGTTGGTCCAATAAAAAAAGTAGTTTTATTTAAAGGTAATTAATACAAAAATATAAAACAAGAAATAATACACTCAAAGTGTAGATAAAAAACGCGTTTCACCTGGCAAGAGGCCTTCTCAAAAGTGTTTTACAGACATTGGGAACCTAAGCTGCTTAACCCCTTAAGGACCAAACTTCTGGAATAAAAGGGAATAATGACATGTCACACATGTCATGTGTCCTTCAGGGGTTAAATGGGGGGGAATTAAAAATATACCGGTTCTGTGACCCTTTTGGGGACTGAATTGCAAAATGTGGACATTGTTGAATAGCGTGAACAATATCCAGATGTTGCAGTCAGAATGGCTCGATGTGCCGCGAGATGGTTTTGCCCATTCATTACAAAGCCATTTGGACTTTATTATTATCATTTAAATAGAACCAACAAATTTCACACCAGTTTACAATTATAGAAAGGGGTTATTATTAGTGATGTCCCGAACGGTTCACCGAACGGTTCGCCACGGATGGCGAACATATGCGCTCTTCGGTCCGCCCCCTATTCGTCATCATTGAGTAAACTTTGACCCTTTACCTCACAGTCAGCAGACACATTCCAGCCAATCAGCAGCAGACCCTCCCTCCCAGGCCCTCCCACCTCCTGGACAGCTCACTAAGAATGCAGCTTCACAATGAATGTAAAATGGATGCTGTCCAGGAGGTGCGAGGGTCTGGGAGGGAGGGTCTGCTGCTGATTGGCTGGAATGTGTCTGCTGACTGTGAGGTACAGGGTCAAAGTTTACTCAATGATGACATAGGGGGCGGACCGAACAGCGCATATGTTTGCTGTCCGTGGCGAACCGTTCGGGACATCACTAGTTATTATTTTAGAGATGAAGAAGGCTCTGACTGGCTCTGGGTTCACACTCTGAGGTAGTTACTTGTGAGGTGGTATTACTAGAACCGGGAACTACACGATTGAACCTCAAAGTAGTGACTTAACACTTCTGTAACAAGCAGGTATGCCTTAGTGAATAACCCTATAAATCCCTATCTTCCTCACAAGTATTCTATAAAAAACACCACTAACCACTTTTATGTTAAACGTAAACATAATTAAGTTCAAGCGCAGAAAGACAACATATTTCATAATCAAATCATATCATAGTTAGTGATGTCCCGAACGGTTCGCCACGGACGGCAAACATATGCACTGTTCGGTCCGCCCCCTATGTCATCATTGAGTAAACTTTGACCCTGTACCTCACAGTCAGCAGACACATTCCAGCCAATCAGCAGCAGACCCTCCCTCCCAGACCCTCGCACCTCCTGGACAGCATCCATTTTACATTCATTGTGATCACATTGTAATCTTTCATACTAAATGCAAAAGAAAAAGACTACAACTGCATAAGAGGAAAAAGTGCTCCAGCACTCCACCAGTTGTGCGGAAAAAAACAACTTTATTTTAAAGCACTTGTGCCTTTTACATTTAAAGGAATACTGTAGGATTTGTAACCACTTAAAGTTAGCAGTTGCTTTGTCCCCAGCAGCCTGCAGCCTGGTCTCCAATTATGATGTATCAGAGGTGGAGCTATGCTCTCTCTTTGAGCTTTAAAAAATTATATCAGTGTTTGTTGTAGTGATTGGTTAGGAGCACTTCCTTAGTTAAGTCCTGGAAAGATTCATGAATTACATTTAGTGTCGCCACGCTCTGCATTAACTCAATATGTTTATACGTCTATATGAGGAGATGCTAATTGGTGCAGCATTGTAATTTACTGTGCATGTGGTCTAGCTCCCAATGCTTTCCTATTGGGAATCATTGGATTGGCTGAGATCATCAGGATTGATGATCTCAGCAGTGGAGGGCACCATGACCACATGGAGACCAGCAAGGGAAATGAGGAAAGGTAATCTCTTTTTTTTAATTTCATTGGGGTGGCAGTCATCTACCCATTAAAAACACTATAGTGTTAAGAACACATGTTTGTATTCCTAACGCTGTAGTGTTCCTTTAAGGGTTTATTAAATAACTTCTTATTTATAAACAATGTCAGGTGCAAGAATGAATGATAATAAATCAAATAAGAGACAGACATAGAAAGCTGTAGAGAAGTGGAAGTCATTCTTTGAAATACATCAATATGTGGATAGTTATACCTTGCAAATTGTTGTATCCTGTGCATGCTGAGATCTATCTTGCTTAGAATTTAGGGTAACAAGCTTACTGAATCACATCTGGCAGAGAAAAATTCAATTACATGGATATCAAACAACTAATGAAAGGAAAGAAATCAATTTTATGTAACAAAGGACAATTCTAAAATTGTGACTTAATGAAAAAGCTTATATAAGTAAAATTCTACTTCCATTTATTTTCACTTGAAAAGACACATTCTTCTCGCTATGTTAGAATAATGCACTATACACAATACAGGTAATATGTTATCAGTCTGGCAAATTAACTGTTACTGCAGTGGCTGAGCCCCATCTAGTGGTGATATACCTGCATGTTACATCTATGTTTCCTATTTTACAAATGTTTAGTGACTTTTTTTATCCTATGTTCAAAAAGATAATCATATATATCTAACAGAATGAAGTACATCAAGAATAAGGTAAAAGAGCAATTGAAAAACTATTAAAGGGCTTTCACCTTGTTGAAGTTAATATTGTCATTGATTAACTAGAATTAATTAATTAAAGCTTTATATGTGCATTTGTTCTTTGCATGTAACACTTTAAAAGATATCTCAATGTAACCACCTTGAAAATATTTTAAAAGATATGTTGCACTGAGTAAATTCACTAATCCATCATTTTAACAAAACTTAAAAAGGGTAGCTGTCAATAATCACCTCCTAAACCAGATAATGTGAATCCTAACACAAATGTATTAGCCTTATTTTAGGAATATATCACATATCATAATTTCTTAGTGTACAGAATCTCAGTGTAGCTTTCTTTGACTACTTCTGTATACATATATACATATCTAAACACAAACATATTAATGCTTAGGCTTTAATCAAGTACTGCTACTGTTATTAGAACAAGCACACAACTATAAAGCAAGTATAAAATCAATTGAGATTTTTTTTTCTACTTAAGCTTAAAATCTTCATTATAATAAAGGGCACCCATCTTGCCCCAAACAACTTATGATCATTAGATTAAGCACAAGATATTATCTATATATTGTGCTAACAGTTTTGCTATCAAATTTATAGATTAGGAGAAAAACCTATTTAAAAATATTTTTTTCTCCAAGCTGTCCCTGCTTTGTCTCTCAGCTGTCCCAGCTATTTCTCCCAGCAGGCGCTGCAGTTACTATGGAAACTCTCTAGCTGGCGCTTCTAGTGTTGGCTAGGGAGTATAGTAACAAAGTAATGTTACGGCACTCCATTCCAAAGCCGGCACCCTGGCAATGTAACCGGAATGCTGAGGTCACTGATGAGATTTGCCCTACTCGGGGATGCATTCCAAGCAGGGCAGTTCAAAGAAGAACAGAGGTGGAGCGGAGGACGAGTTGATGGCGATCCAGAGGTTGATGTTACATTAAAAGTAGCACCCACAAAGCATGAAGATGGCAATGCTGGAACAGAGGAAAAGTAAGTAAACCTTTATAACAAATAAATAATTACATTGAATACATCCTGTATCTTTGTTATATTTGTTGTATTCAATGCATATGGTAGCTATTTAGGGTGGTATTTTTTTTCACAACATGTTCACTTTTATGGCTACATAATTATCTATGCTTTCAAACTGAAACACTTTTGACCACAAATATTGTCACTTAGTCTACAGCCTAACAATTTCACTAAGGAAAAGAACAAGATTGAGGCATATTACCTGTCCTTAAGTCATATTTAATGCTGAACAAATAGCAAGCCAACAAATAGGGTACCTGCAGGTTGGCAAAGTGGTCAAATAACTAGCATAAGTCATGGATAAAAAGACATCAGGATAAATGCCAAGCGGGATTGAGGGAAACATAATTTAAGATAAATGTAAGACAAGCCACAGAATAATAACACAGAATATAAGCAAAATAGTGAACGTGTCAAATAATCACAAAAGGGCACTGATGCATCTAGTTTAAATAGCCAACTGAGTGGTTACAAAATTATAGAACACACAAATACAATTGTGCAGATCAGTGTTAATTTTGTTTACTAACAATTTTAGTCGACTAAAATTTTTGAGATTTAGTTTACTAAAACTAGACTAAACTAAAACAATTTAGATTACTAAAATACGACTAAAATGTCTTTTTAGTCAAAAGACTAAAGTTAACACTGCACAGAGGGGTTGTGGAAGGGGGATAAGAGACAGACAAGGGCTTGGGAGAGAGAAATCTAGAGCAGTGGTCCCCAACCCAGTCCTCATGGACCACCATCAGTCCAGGTTTTGTCAGTATCACCATTTGAATAAAAAAGGGAAATACATAAATCCTGGACTGTTGGTAGTCCATGAGGACTGGATTGGGGGCCACTGATCTAGAGTGACTGGGAGGACACAGAGGGGCTGATGAAGGGGAAAAGAGACAGTGGCTTTAACTGAACCCATTAGATTCTAGTTGTGTCAACTAAAATCTACTGGAGATTTATTCGACTAAAACCCAAAACAATTCAGATGACTAAAATACGACTAAAACTAAAATGTGTTTTTAGTCAAAAGACTATATCTGAAACTATTAGATACAATATACACCTAAAAGGACATAGGTAGAAAGAAATTCATAGGGCAACACCATACAATAAAGAAATGGCCCCTTGGTAATAATAATGCACTCACAGGATGTACGAATTGTTCAAGCCCATCAGTATCTCTTTAAATGTTCAATTGCAGAAATTTTCAATTCCGGGAATACATGTCAAAAGAAGAAACTGGACATAGTGCAGCAAAGTTTAAAATATAAAATGACACGCTTTAATTGTACACACTTACAAGAAGTGAGCAGTAAGAATGCTCATCAATTAAACATTGAGTCCTCTGTTCCCAGATGATACAAGGCAGAAGATGAATTGCAATAAAAAAGCTCAACACGTTTCGTCTACTTAGCTGTAGACTTCCTCAGGAGCATATAATAAAAATAAACACAGCATAAAAATCATGCAGCACAAACTCTCAAATGTCCAGGATAGCTTTTAAATGTCACCCTCTTCTCATCTCCGCACGTTCTTCATCCTTCATTATTCAATGCCCTTATAAGGACTTCCGTTCCTCTTCATGGAACGCATATGCGTTCCACCTCTCGGCGGCTCCAGAAGACGTCATCCACCCTCGCGTGGAACGCATATGCGTTCCAGTTCGTCAATTCGGCCAATCAGGAGCAATATGTGGATCAAATACAACAGTATTTAGATACAACGAAATTCAATTAGCAAAAGTTAAATTTCTCAGCTTGCTCTACATAGGTATTAAAATTGGAGCAATTATGTCTGAGTCGAGTATATTGGCTCTTTGGGACTCCTGCCAGCCATTTGGGGTGGTGACCACTCTTAGAAATTAACAACCAAATTTATAGAGAAGGGATATAAAAGAGAAAATTTAGATATAGAGGTCAAGAGAATTGGAGATATCAAAAGAGGAGATCTTTTAATGAATAAAGTTAGGTCTACCACCAATGTTGATAGATCTTTTGAATTTTCATTCAACACCCAATACAACTCAAAAACTTTTGCCATTAACAGAATATTTAGAAGACATTGGAATATACTTAAACATGATGAGTATATAGGTCCACAATTGCTTGAACACCCCAAGA